AGGGCTTTCGGTAAACTATGCATACTGTAAACTGTGAATTTATGCTGAGTCATCATAGTTATAGCTTATTTTTATATGCCATAATAAAAAGGAGAATAATGAATGTAAATATAACAGACAAAGAGACCAATCAAAAGATATGAAACAGGTATTAATGCGAAATGGGGTTTTCGTCATTGAGACTTCAACCAAAAGAGGAGTTCAAAGGTTTTATCAACATCAAATTGCAAATGAATTTCCCCCCAAAACAGAAATAGCTCTGGGGCTCTTTTCACACAAAAATCTTATGACTAAAATTTATCATAAGTTATACCAAGGATTTATATAGTAATATATAAATCCTTGGTTATACAGAACTGTTCATGACTTACAAAAAGTTTTCTTGTAAGATTTTTTGTGAAATGATTCCTGGATATTGCTATGAAAATAAAGATAATAACTAAGTTAATTTAATTGTTTTTAAATTAAGGATTAAAGTGGCATTCTTAAAACGTAAAAATGTAAACAGGTTTCAATTGTGTTTTGTGAATTTTATTATTGACAAAATGAATAATAGTTATTGTCATGACGATCAAAAAACCAAAATCACTCATCTAAGATTTTTAAAATAAAGGCAGAAGATAACAGTAATCATAAATAATTAACATTTAAAAATTAATCATCTAATAAAAACAAAAACATTTAGAAAATTCATGAATTTTGATTTATGAAAATGTAAATAGTTGGATACATACATCTTAAAAAACATTAAATAATTCAACCTGTATTTGAATAAAAATATGGTGGGAACAAACCCAGGGGGCGAACGTGTAGGGTGCGAATGTGTTCTGGGAGCGAATAGACGCAATACCGAAAGTTTGCTTTCATTAATATTCATCTGGTTCTACAGCAGGAACCAGCCCCTCAACAGCTTTGTACAAAAATATAAGCTTTTGGCTTTAGCATCTTGTCTGAATATCTTGAAGTTATGTATTTTTGAATTTTTGGCTCATGTTTTTTAAGCTTAAGATATATTGGACCATCAGAGTTCACTGCTACTTCTTCTGATTGTTCTCCTTCAACTACATACCACTTTCATTTTCCTGTTTGTCAAGAACCTATTCAGCCAGTTGATTATTGGCCCTCTTAATTCCATATTTGATTTTTTTGACTAGTTCCTTTAAGGATTCTGTGTCTAAATCTTTGGAAAAATCTTAAATGGCAGTATAAACAGATTATTATTATAAAACATGTATATATAGACTTTAAAAAGAAAATCCTTTATATCATCCAAATCTGATTTACTGATTGCTTTTCTGTATGCAGTGACCTTAACATAACACCTTTCAGAAAAAATTTGACAATCACACTGTTCCAAGTGTGAAGGGAAAAACCTGGAAGAAGAAAAAAGTAAACAAAAATGGAAAGAAGATTGTATAAAACAATTCTGAAAGAAAAGTTTGAATACACCTACTAATTTAACAACTTTTATGACAAAGTTTGAATACACCTATTAATTTAACAACTTTTATGACAAAGTTTGAATACACCTATTAATTTAACAACTTTTATGACAAAGTTTTATTAAAAAAAGAGAATGCATAGAAAATCTATGGAAGATACAAAACTCTATCATCTCACTCTTTATACAACTCATCTCAACATCCATAATTCTGTGTTGATCATGTTTACTGTTTATTAAGGTCATGGTTGGTAAACTTTGGCACGATACCTGTAAGTTAATTTCATGTAGCAGCCAAAGTTTTCTATTATCAATCACTGAATGAAATTGTTTTCGATTTTAAGTAATGGGCTGTTTTGTTTTGTTGTACATATAAGTAGGGTAGAATCTGTCTAAAGTTATGGCAATTTCGCACACTTGCAACAATTTATCAAAGAAAAAATTTCTTTAACGACAACATACAGTCAGTTTTACTGCATATAAAAGTATTCTAAAATAGGTCGTATTTGGGACTACATGTAAGTAGCAAATGAAAATGATAATATAAATAAGAAGATGTGGTATGAGTGCCAATGAGACAACTCTCCATCCAAGTCACAATGTATAAAAAGTAAACAATTATAGGTCAAAGTCTGTCTCCTACTTTAGATATCTTTTAATACATTGAACATATTCCTGTAGATAAAACAAGGAACCGTTTCTATAATTCACAATTATTTTGACAATTATTAATAATTACCTATTTACAAGGACCCATAGATATGAAATTTCTTCAAATTTCAAACTAGGATCAATTCTCTGTAAATAAATCACTGTGTATCATCGGTACAGCAGATATAGGTACTAACCAAGCGGTTGACCTGGTTCTCTGTTCATTGTCTAAGAAAAACAACATTACTGTACAAATACCAGTGTATAGGTACCCAGGTAGCCATATCCGCTGTCCCGATGATACACGGTGTAAATATTTGCTTAGAAAACAATGTGATAGATATGATTGAATCTTTAGTATTAGTTTTCATTTGTTATTTGGACCATGTGATCATCTGGCACATGACTGTTAGTGTATTTTTTTTTAATCTTATTCTTTCAGATTTGAAACAACTGACTCAAAAAACCTGTACACCTATAATATTGGGATATGTGTGAATGCTGACCCACAGAAACAGTTTGGGGAAAATGTTGGAGTTGTACAAAATGAAATTAAAGATAAAGGTCCTTTAAAACATTGGATAATTGGCTGTTACAATAACTCCCAGCTTATAGAAGGAAGTATGTAAAACTACATGTAGGAAATATTTTACTGTATATAAATTGGACAGCAACCCTATGTGATAGCCTCTTTATTTTGTGTATTTTTAGATTGTAGAATAAAGATGTATAATTATGTAAATGTTAGATAAAACGACAAAACATGTCTTCTCTAAATTTTGATTACATAGAAATGTTTGCATACATTATTGACGTATTGATGAATATTCATGGTTATTTGGATTTCTAGTAATCTGATTGGTTGGTTGAAAGTTTTTAGCTCTATTTTTGTTTGAGTTAAAGAACTAATGGATTCAAAATGGACAGATGTTTAAGTCCAGTAGCCATTGAAATTATTGAGAAATTTTATTGAATGTATTGAAATTTTGACAAATTATAAGCTGTTGTATAGAAAATCACTTTAATTTACCAGTATAAAGTTTGAAATGATTTGTGCCAGGGGCTACCTTGCTCCACAAGTTGGGTTTTTTATGGTACTTTTATATATGAAGCCCAAAAGTCTATTACACCTACAATACACTGCTATTAAAAATGAATGTCAATTCACAAATTGACAACTTCGCTTCTCAATCTTTATTTCACCCATTTTCTGACTCCTGATAAATGAAGTCTTGACAAATCATGTCTGTTAAAAGCTCAATAGAGCTCTAATGTGCTTGTTTTGCAAACTATACTGACTCTAAATAAAGCTTATTTATTTATTTATTTATCTTTAATTACTTATCTATAATTATCAGAACATCCAATAATCGTGATAATACAACACCATTTCTGATTGGTCAATTTGACCTACATTTGTAAGTAATTGATTTACCCCATTAGACCAATGAAATCTATCAAAGGGATTTAAGCTGGCATGCAGTGTGGGTTCGTGGTCTAGTGGTTAAGACCGATGGCTACAACCCTAAAGGTCCCAGGTTCGATTCCGACTCAGGGCGCTGGAAATTTCAGTACATCTGAAGGGTGATTTCACCCTCCCACACACTTCTCTGGTACCCAGACTGGAGTTTTAAACTAGAATGGGTACTTTGGAGGCCTCGGTTGGGCAAAGTTGCCTCCTACTTTGACCTGGAGATCAATCTGCCGATATGTCTTCCGTTTGTCTGTTCACGCCGAGTGTCCTGGTGGTTCTCTCTGAGTACTTCGGCTTCCTCCACCAAATTAACAGACTTCCCAGTGTCCTAGCACTCCCTTTGTGCTGGGGTGGGGATTGTCCTTGTAAATATTGTTATAAATACGTTAGTGACACATCTCCATTAATCCCGATAGGGAGTTACACGGATTCCACTGTACCCTCCCAGCTCTCGAGAGGTGCTCCGAAAAATGGAGGAATCTTCCAGTACATACAGATACATAACGGTGTATGTGGCCTGCTATCCTGCCTTATTTCTGCTCTGCATCTAAAAGGGAAGAATTCACATAACTAGCACTGTCCATTTGTAAAAATTTATAACATTGATAAACCAGCAGGTAAATTAAACGGTTGATTAAGTATTTTAATTGATAAGTATAAAAATAATGAGATGTATGATATAATTGTTAAAGAGATAAATATCCTTATATAGGACTTAAAGGCAAAAATATGAACAAATACAGGCCACTGTATAGTGTGTGACAATGGGAAACCCCCATTCTGTATAGTAAGCTACATGTATAACAGACCCATAGAAACAATTTTTAAAAAAACAATGGCCTGATTTTTACTACAATAATAAACAAAAAACTGTATGACAGTAAACAATCATCAACAAACTCTAAAGTGGAGGCACAAAAATAATATGTCAAGGATAAATATGTTTGTGGATGCTCAACTCTCTTTCTATCCTAGAGAACAGGCATATCATCACAATAAAAAACAAACTGTTAAAATCAGTTGGCAAGGGCTCGACTCATCAGATTGTTACAAAGCACCAAACAAATAACAAAAAGAGTTCTTGCAGTTACTGCAAAGATACTATATCAAGATTTCTAACCTTAAATAGTATTTCAATAATTTTAAAGTCAGTGTAGTAACTGTAAATTCAGAAATTATTGCGTGCATTCATTATTGCGATTTTTGGGGAAAGGACTAAAATGCGAGATTAATTATTGCGATTTTATGAAAATTTGCATACAGTTATATGCTTTGGATATTGAAATGCGAGTTCTTATTGTTGCGACATTCACTCAGTCGCATTATTCACATTAATAAAAACCTTGCAATAATTTCTGAATTTAGAGTACCTGTAGTTACAGAAATGTACAATAATCACTGTAGAATATAAGCCAATTATATCTTTTATTTCAGCTGACTGGTTAATATTAGAATATTTAGATGGACAGCCATATGCTAACCACTGTGGACATGAACCAAGGAAAGCCAGGATAATGATCACATGTGATAATAATGTCAAATCTGGAGTAAGTTATCTCCCCTCTTTAATGATGTGTGTAAAGATCTTTTTAGGTTACAAGAGCGCAATTATTCGTAATGCATTTTCCATAGGGTACCAGTGGTGTTCCATATTTTTTTTCTCGAAGACTACACAGACTAGAAAAAAATGGGTAGCAGTTCCTGTTACTAGAAATGTCAGTGTTGCATAACAACCAAAAAAATATATATGGTCATGCGGCAAAAATTGACTTAAAATGCAGTTGAAAAACATGTTCTATTTTTTTCGCTTAATGAAAAAAGCAGATTTTTAATGGCTCCGACTTGCAGATATTGAATATATTTTCTATAGTTTGTAAAATGTGAATTTGATTTTTCTGGATATTTTAAACCTAATTGGATAAGCTTTCGATTAAAAGTAATTCCAATCCTGTTTCATCCAATCAGAAGCCGTCCAAGATTCTATTCTGAGTACCATCTTAGAAAACTTGCCGGTAAAATGTAAACAAATAATTGCGCTCTTGTAATCTATAGGTACCACCTTGTCTCGTATCTTTTTTGTCAAACAACTATGTGCAAGATTTTTATTTCACCTGGCTTAAAAGGTCATTTGAGCTTTTGCCATCACTTGGCATCCTTTGTCGATGTCTGTCCCTAGTCTCTCCGTAAATTAAAAAAAAAATCTACTATTGGGCCAAATGTTACCATACTTTACCTGAATGTTCCTTAGAGTTTTTAGAATAGATTAAAATTGATTAAGTGCCATTTGATAACCAGAAGAAAAATCTGTATCATTAATCTGATTTTATTCACTGTTTGTAATGAGCTTGAAAACTTTCGGTTTCTCAAAAATGAAAGTAGCATGATTTAACTCCTGCAGATTTGCAGTTTTAAGTGATTCAAATCATTGCAGCTTCAAACTGTTGCATTCCACATATTATTCTTTTATACTTTTACAGAAACAGGTACGAAATTTTATGCAGTTCGTACAACCGTTGATAGAGGTTCATTTATGTTGTGATGTCTAGTATGAATTTGACAGTTTGAAATTTAAGGTTCTGGTTTTCTAGTCCTCCAAATTGACTGAAATTGTGTAAAGAAATTTCCAAACCCTTGCTCAAAACTAAAGCAGAAAGAGCATATTTGACAAAAGGGTTGAAATGATAAGCAGGTCAAGATCCTCTCTTTGAAATTAAAAAAAAATAAATTAGAAAACCTATTTTGGAGTTATTTCCCCTGAAATGTAAATTTTTAGTAAATTCCAAGTTTTTGGCTTATGCAGTGGACTCTAGTTATCTCGAAGTCAGTAGGACCAGAGAAATATTTTGAGATACCCATAGTTTGACTCAAGCGAATACCGGAAGTTTGACAGACACAATTCTCACTTCCCTTGGTAAGGCTAAAATAAATCCTCATAAATAAGCTGGGATAGATATTCTGGTCTAAAATCTATTTATCTGCAAATAATTGTCTTTTATAATTATAATAAAATATTGGTTTTTTTTTTGCCTCATTGGTGTTTTTTTCCAGTAGATTTCGGCCAAGAGAATAATATTTGACATTGATAGAAAGAAACTTAAATATGCAAAAATAATCAGCAAGACAAGATCTACAAATAAGTCAACATGGTTTAAATCGTCTGATGACTCCTTATTGGAGTTGTTTTTTTTAATAACGATTTTTATGCCCCCGTCATATTGGAGGGGGCATTCAGTTTTACCCTTGTCCGTCTGTATGTCCGTACGTCCCGAAATTGGGTTTCCGTTCTCTAACTTTAGTTTGACTCAACCAAATGTTATGAAACTTATGCACAATGCTTATTACCACAAAACACAGATCAAGTTTGAATTTGGGTGGTGTCACTTTTACCTTTATAGAGTTATGCCCCTTTAAAAATGGAAAAATTGCTGAATTTAACATTTCCGTTCTCTAACTTAAGTTTACATCAACCAAATGTTATGAAACTTATACACAATGCATTTTACCACAAAACTCAGATCAAGTTCTAATTTAGGTAGCGTCACTTTTACTGTTCTTGGGTTATGTCCCTTTATAATGTTATATGCAAGCGGGGTCATCATCTGTTTCCCATGTCACATTCCCCATTTAATGTCATTTTTTCGCTGTTGCCTAATCTCTGAAAAACTACATTAGATAGATAGAAACTTATAAGCAAAATTGATCACCAAGACTAGATCAACAAAGAAAAGATTTTTGTCTGGAATTCTAATAGAACGTGCTTCTTTCGCTTTGTAAACAACAACGTGATAAAATTCCTGATACATCTATACTTAGCGCAGACTCAGAGATGTACATAATAATGGATGTTACAATATGCCTCCGACGTAAATCCACATGTATCGTAACCTATGTGCAAACTCTATGCTGATTTCGCTATGTTAAAAATTGCAATTGAAAAAAACCTACAGAACCTTTATTCTTGTTCTGATGCATAACAAAAAGAATTAATGCATTAGAGCTCAGAAAAATGTACAAAATCAAAATAAAAAAAAATTCTGCGAAATTCCATTAATGTATTGGCACATTAAAGTCGTTTCAAGACGATAGCTTACGAGAACAAAATTTAAATTAGAAATGGCTAATGTTTAGGTTGAGAAATGAAAGAATTAAACGAATTTTTTCCAGCAGTTATTTAAGAAATAATTCATGCAAGCTATAGATTTATTAGAAATTTTAAGCTTTATCTAATAGGGGTAAAATAGCACAGCCACACACACGGCATACCCGCCCTTGCTTCAGTTTTTTATATGACTGCAAAAATTTTTGCGGTCGTATATTGGTATGACATTGGTGTCGTCATCGTCGTCCGAGGACACATTGGTTTTCGCACAATTACTTTAGTTTAAGTGAATGGATCTCTATGAAATTTTAGCATAAGGTTCAATACCACAAAAGGAAGGTTGGGATTGATTTTTGGGGTTATGGTACCAACAGTTAAGGAATTAGGGGCCAAAAAGGGGCCAAAAATAAGCATTTTTGTAACTTCCAGACAATAACTTGTGTGTTAGTGTATGGATCTCTCTGACATTGTACCACAAGGTCCCATATCTCAAAGGGAATGCTGGGATTGATTTTGGGGGTAATTGCCTCAAAATTTTAGGGAATTAGGGGCCAAAAAAGGGGCAAAAAACAAGCATTTTTCTAGTTTCATGACAATAACTTGTGTGTAAGTGTATGGATCTTTCTGAAATTGTACTACAAGGTTCCATATCACAAAGGGAATGCTGGGTTTGAGTTTGTGGGTAATTGCCCTAAACGTTAAGGAATTTGGGGCAAAAAACAAGCATTTTTCTAGTTTCCAAACAATAACTTGTGTTCAAGTGTATGGATCTCTCTCAAATTGTACTGCAAGGTACCATACCACAAAGGGAAGGCTGGGATTGAGTTTTGGGGTGATGAATCATAAGTGGGTTCAAAAAATTTGGGGGGGGGGGGGATTTTTTTTTTCCTTTATTTTTTATTTAAAATTTTCCATTTTAAGTTGGTTATTTCTAGTTTATATATAAAAGCAAATAATAATGATATGGTTTGATTTCATCAAAAATTGAAATATTGGGGTTCTGTTATATGCTGAATCTAACTGTGTATTTAGATTCTTAATTTTTGGTCCCGTTTTCAAATTGGTCTACATGAAGGACCAAAGGGTCCAAAATTAAACTTATTTTGATTTTAACAAAAATTGAATTCTTGGGGTTCTTTGATATGCTGAATCTAATGATGAAGGTTTTTTGTTTATTTTAAGGCATGATTATGATGTCATTTTCTATTTTAAAAATTATTTAATTTTAGCCATGATTATGTATGTGACGGAATTTTATTTTTAGATATTACTATTTAATGTTGCTGATGAAAGTGTTTTAATTTTAGGCATGATTATGATGTCATTTTCTATTTTAATACTTTTATGATGTATTTAAATGGGTTTTTATGGTTGCAAAGTCCTAGCTGTCAATTTATTTTTAGAAGTTACTTTTAAATGCTGTTGAAGGAATTTTATTTTTAGAGATTACTATTAAAAGTTGCTGATGAAGATTTTTAAATTTTAGCCATGACTATGATGTCATTTTCTATTTTAATACTTTCATGATGTATTTAAATGGGCTTTTATGGTTAAAAAAAGCATTTTTCTAGTTTCCAGACAGTAACTTGTGATTAAGTGTATGGATCTCTCTAAAATTGTACTACAAGGTTCCATACTTCAAAGGAAAGAATGCAATTGAGTTTGATGGTTAATGCTAAAAGGGGGATTCAAAAAGTTTGGGGGGAAGGGGGTTTCCAATTTTTTTTTAAAAGGGTTCATATTTTTTTTTCAAAATTTTCAAAATTTCAAATTTTTGAAAAGTTTCAAGAAGAAATCTTCAATTGCACAGTATTGCGCATTAGATTTGTAAGATTTTTGACCACATTTATTTTGTGTCAGAAACCTATATTATGTCAAAAATTTGATCACAATCCAAATTCAGATAGTATCAAGCTTGAATATTGTATCCAAATTTGCCCCAACTGTTCAGGGTTCGACCACTGCGGTTCTATCAGGCTGCCCTCAGTGAAGCATTTTATTAAATGACTGTATTTGTCCTATTAGAATCGAAATAATTCATGGAAGCCAAAGATTTGTTGTAAATTTACACATGGCCTGGGCCGTGATATTCGTTAATTTTATCCCTCGCTAAGGCTCAAGATAAAATTCGAATATCCTGGCCCATGCCATGTGTAAATTTCCAACAAATCTATGGCTTCCATGAATTATTTTCTTAATTCTATTCTAGTCCACACTCCACAATGATAGAGGGTATCCATTGATGAAGATGCACATAGACCTAGGTGAGCGACACAGGCTCTTTAGAGTTTCTAATTTAAACTAGATACCGGAATGATGATTGTGGCCAAGTTTAGTCAAATTTGACCCAATGGTTTCAGAGGAGAAGATTTTTATAAAAGTTAACAGACGACGACAGATGCCAAGTGATGAGAAATGCTCACTTGGCCAGGTGAGCTAACAAGTGATGTGAAGGGTCATTTGAATTAAGAAGGGGTGAAGATGGGAGCCTGGGATATCCCCCCAATTAATAACATTATAGAGAATATCGTCATATTTTGCCAGTTGAGTGATTCAGGCCTCTTTTTGTAACTTACATTTTGTTATTTTATATTTTAAGGAAGAAACAGTTAAAATCTTTGAAGAAGAAATTGAAAAAACAGAGGATTGTTATTACTTGTTTGAGATATCAACTCCTGACATTTGTATAAAAGAACCACCAATAACTATTAGTCTCAGTGTTGGCTCCATATTAGTTATCATGTAGGTACCAGTTGTATAACAGTAGATTTAGAACCACCAATAACTATTAGTCTCAGTGTTGGCTCCATATTAGTTATCATGTAGGTACCAGTTGTATAACAGTAGATTTAGAACCACCAATAACCATTAGTCTCCGTGTTGGCTCCATATTAGTTATCATGTAGGTACCAGTTGTATAACAGTAGATTTAGAACCATAGATAACAATAAATCCCAATGTTGGCTCCAAACTAGTAATTGTGTAGGTACCAGTTATAAAACAGTAGATTTACCAGTATGTTCAATAGTTGATATTTACATGCAAATATAATTATACCCCACTCTAATAATGGTTTGCCAATACTTTAAATTTTTCAATACTACATGTTGAATGAACTTGGAATTTTTTTTATAGTGAAGATATCATTAGTGAGCTTCATCTATTTCTAGTCAATCCCAATTTACAAGTTAGGAAGATTCTTAATTATATTATCATGAATACTGTACTGAATTTTATTTCAATGTTCAGTGAAAAGTTCTGAAGTTAAGCTTTAGAAGTACTTAAAACAGATCAAGACTTCCGCTCCTATTGCTGTGAAAATATCAAAATTGTTCATTTGCCCAAAGACAAGACTATACAAAAATCTACTTTTCTGGGCAAATTTTTGACTTGTCCCATCTTGTTTTGCTATTACAGAAATTACTGGTCATGGACAATATGTAGTGTTTTGTATAAAACTATTGTTTGTCTTTTCTACGTCGTTTGTAAGATTCTGCTTTTCATTTCTCCCAAATGTTTTACTGATTTTTGTCTATTTGTATTAACTAATATAATATAATTGACTTGTACTTGGAACTAATTGTTTACATAATAATTTTTGTGGTGGTGTTCCTGCACTAGGAGCTATATTTTTGTTTTGTTTACAGATTCATTGTGGTTGTGTGCCTGTACATCCTATTAGGATTTCTGTATAACAGACTGGTACTTGGAGCTAAAGGCAAAGAACAGATACCTAACTACAGTTTCTGGCAGGACTTTGGCAACTTACAAGCTGTATGTAGTTATGTTGATATCTCTACAGAAAAACAACAGAACTTAGGCCATTAAAAAAATGTTATCTTCATAGGCAATTTTTTTTCATTTTTTGGGGCAGGGAGGCTTTTATCCAACTACCTGCAGTTACAAAAAAAGCAACAACAAATTTTACTATCAGAAATTACCTAGCATAAAATCTTTGTCTCATGTTTTACTAAATCACATTGGTCATTGAATTATAAGCACTTCAAACTGTTATAAGCATGATAAAAATAGTTTGAATGACCAAGATAGGGATATATAATGATAGAAAAATACTGTAACTTGGAACGAAGAATTTCCAGATTTTGCTGATTTAAAAAATAAAAACAGTGCATGCTGGGGAGCCTGAAAAACTAATATTGTTTTTTATTGGCCTGTGCGACTTACAAACTGTTGGTAGTCATAGTTACATCTGTAGTGATCCTTCCATTACAATAAAAAAAAGCTTCTGTTTTGGCAGGAATTATCATTTGACATGGTTTAAGTATCTTTAGAAACAACTTTCAAAAATTGTTTTCATATGTAGAGGTCTTTTGCAGTGACATAAATTTTAGAGATCTTTTGCAGCGACATAAATTTTAGAGGTCTTTTGCAGTGACATAAATTAAGAGATTTTTTGCAGTGACATAAATTTTAGAGGTCTTTTGCAGTGACATAAGAATTTGAGTCTTTTGCAGTGACATAAATTTTAGAGATTTTTTGCAGTGACATAAATTTTAGAGGTCTTTTGCAGTGACATAAATTTTAGAGATTTTTTGCAGTGACATACATTTTAGAGGTCTTTGCAGTGACATAAATTTTAGAGATTTTTTGCAGTGACATAAATTTTAGAGGTCTTTGCAGTGACATTATATTTAGAGGTCTTTTGTAGTGACATTGTATTTAGAGGTTGTATGCAATGACATAATAATTGAATATGAAGAGTTCCATTTAAAATGATAGGTTTTAATCAAATTCGATTATTGTGTTAATGAAGCAATCAAAGTGTGGGAGATAATTTTCATTAGTTAATAGAAGTCAAAAAATGTCTATAAGCAATTTTCTAAATCTGATCACAATGATGGCAACTTTATACAGTTAACACAAACACTTGAGCTTAATATTATTACTAAATTGTGAATTGCATTTAAAACCAAAATTTTTTGTCAATTTGAATGTTTTTATATCAAAATATCATCAACAATATAATAATTTTATCAAATCAGAAAGGAGTTAATTGTCAATATATGTTATATACATTTATTTCTTTTGAAAAGGAACATGTTTTAACTTCTTTTTTTCTTAAAAGTTATAGAGCTAAATAATCCATTCTTTATTAATTTTATATAACAGAAGTACTTTATGTAAGCAGTTAACAATAACTTTTCGTCGAAAGTAGTTTTTGATAATTATTGGGGTATTAGAAAAATATCTAAATTTTCAAAATTATACAATGTTCCGTGATATTCCTACATATTGTCACCTCAGGATTTCTTTTTTGTGCCCCCGCCGTAGCGATGGGGGCATTAAGTTTTACCCTTGTCCGTCTGTACGTACGTACGTACGTCCCAAAATTGGTTTCTGTTCTCTAACTTGAGTTTGCCTCAACCAAATGTTATGAAACTTATACACAATGCTTATTACTACATTATACAGATTAAGTACGAAATTTGGTGGCGACACTTTTACCATTCTTGATCCCTTTATAAACATAAAATTTGCTGAATTTTTCGTTTTCGTTCTCTAACTTAGTTTGTCTCAACCAAATGTTATAAAACTTATACACAACCGTTCTAGAGTTATGCGTGTTTACAAATAGAAAAATTGCTGAATTTTTCGTTTCTGTTCTCTACTTAAGTTAGCCTCAACCAAATGTTATGAGACTTACACACAATGCTTATTACCACAAAACTCAGATCAAGTTCAAATTTGGCTAGCGTCACTTTTACTGTTCTTCAGTTATGTCCCTTTATAACTATATGATATGCAAGCGGGGGCATCATCTGTGTCCACATGTGGACACTATCCACATTTATTTAGTTTTTGTCTTTGGGTTGCTGCATCATTTCTTCAATAAATTTATTTTACTGTGGCTTCATTTATTTTGCTTGGAACTAATTTAAGTTCTGCCAAAGTCAGCATACAAGCCTTTAGAAACTTTGTTCTCTGTTTAACATTTAAATCTGTTGTTACTTTTAAACCACAAAATCTATGAAAATTGGTATCCACTAATAATAATATATCCAGAGTACACAGTTATACCCCTGGCTACTATGCCCCTGACACAGAAGTGCCAAGTCAATAATAGTTCTTAAAATATGGATGTGAAAACAATCTGTTGATATGTATGGTAAGAGTAAATAATTTATTAATTGTTTTGTCCTCTCAATTTACAGGATGGTTGTAACTATATTTGTCGTACTGGAAGTAGATCAGAATCTAAACCATACAAAGGTTTAGGGGATGACCAGCTACAGGAAGAAGATGACCGCGATGACCATTTACTGCCGATGTAAAATGCAGTTGTTTATCGTTGATTGTGAAACTACTTTTATCTGGAGAGTTGTCTGTCATGAAAAGTATTTATAGACCTATCAACAGATCAGCTCAGGAAAAGATTCTATAAAGATACAGCTAATGGCCTATAATGACCAAACTGGATCCAAGTTAATTTCAGCAATTCTAACTATGGAAGGGTACCAGTGTTAGGGGCAAATAGCTGAGTGTTGATATGCCTATTTATATCCAGTTTGAGCTTGGAATTAAGGAAATGTTATATGCTGTGATAAAAATATGTGTTTTGCCGATTGAACATTCCAAATTAAATTAATCTTTAGTATTAAATCTAAAATGGGTGTAAATAGCAAAAAAAAAAGAAAAAAAAGTCATAGGATCTTATACAAAATATTCTGTCCTAGTTCATCGAAAATCTTTTTTTTCATGGTGGTCCTTCAAGAAAATCTGCTGGTCCTCACTATTATTGCAAAATACCAAAATTGTGTCTGTCCTTTGCCAAAGTTTGGTGGTGAAAACCTTCCGACCACCACTTTTTTAGAACTCTGTTCTGTAATCATAATAGATGCTAAGATATCAGGTGTATTTTAGTTTAAACAAGTTATTAATAAATTCTTCCTGTACATAGAGGGAAGTAAAATACAATTCAACAATCAGTACAAAAATAAAATTAAGAAAACAGAGCAGATTTTTCTTATAAATTAACCTCACAGTGACACACCAAATTTTACTAGATATATTTATTTAACTGAGTAAAGTTTTTTAAGGTTTGTTAAGAAAAGACAACACCTTTAAATTTTTCGAGACTTAATCTGTTGATTTGAATAATATTCATCTGCGCTAGCTATTATAAAGACTTATGATCTAGTCCCCTCCTCTCCACCCTTGGTAGATTAAGCCAGAATTTGTTAATAGAATGCTGCATCATTATGGAGAGGAGAGAATTAGATCCTAACCCTTGGCTAGCAAAGATCAATATTAATAAGCAAAAAAAACAAAAAAAAAACAATCAGGTTGAGATTTCTTTTGAATCAGTTAATTTTTGCATTCATGTTAAATGTGTGTATTCATTTGTGAAGTAAGTAAGGTGTGAAGTAAGTAAGGTGTGAAATATTAGAGTATCATTACTGCACATTTGTACATTGATGTTCTCCCCACAAATTTCATAAACATCCATAAAATATATGGGGCACTAATTTAATTATTCATCATGTCACTTTTATGACCGGAAATGTGTGGCTGTTTAAGGCAAATGTTCAGGTCAAAACTGAAAAGATCGCATGAACTTCAATTTTTTTGTCTGAACTATGTTATTAAAGTGTCCGTTTCATCTTCAACACAACAAGTCATTTATATAATTTATCGTACTTGTCCGGAAAATATGACCGTTTTGGAAGCACTGGGGCCGCCCCACTAAATATCATATCACATACTGTGGATTCATTTATTTTAGTGGTTACCAATTTTCGTGGATTGAGGAAAAATTGTATTTTGGTAGTTATTTGATTTTATGGTTTTGCCAAAGACTGCATACAAGCCTATAGAAAATTTGTATGTGTACTTCAAAATTCATGGTTCTTCTTCATCCAAAAAATCCACATAAAATAATGAATCTACAGTATCAAATATCATATTGTTGTATCACTTCACATTTAGATATATTTTTTGTTGTTGTTGAGAATACATGAATGAATGTTACTAGATAAAATATATAATTAATGATATAAACGTTTTGAAAGAAAAAACGTTGATAAATGAACAAATGCACATATTATAGATATTTTAACAATATGTTTTTAGTGTGAGTGGGTACAATAAGAATATATATATATGTTTATTTGCTATTGTGTCATTATTGGTCATTATTGTTTCTATTGTGTCATTGTGTAACAATGAAAATTTTACAATCTTCTTTCTCCGAGTCTCCTATTACCATGTCAAGTAACAATCATTTATATATCAGTTTTTAGTCCACTACCGACGAAGTCAAAGGGGACTTTAGGTTGGCACTCCGTCCAACAGTCCGGCAAATAAGTTTTTCACACTTTTTTTCTTCGTGCTTGAAGATATTGATTTGATATTTGGTGTATTGTTTTATCATGACAAGTTACAGATCAAGTTCGAATTTTGTTCCGGTCTGATGATTTTGTGCAGAGTTATGGGCCTTGGACTTAGAAAATTCACTCAAATAATCAGTTTCCACACCTTTTTTCATCATGCTTGAAGATATTGACTTGATATTTGTTATATAGTTTACACCATGACAAGTTATAGATCAAGTTAGCATTTTGTTCCAGCACAATGAATTTTTAACTGGTAGGGGACTATGTATTGCATGGCAATACTCTCAGAATGCTAGTTGATTTGACCTTTTGACCCTGTTTATATTTCCTCTATTGTAAATACACAAATTTTTGCAAGCATTTATATTGTGATTTTTTGCACAATGGACAAAATATATTGAGATTGATTATTGCGATTTCAGGTAATGCTGCATAAAAGTAATAATAATAAACTACAAAACAAGTTTTTATTTTGGCAAAAAGTATCCTGTTGCAATAAACAAACACCACAAAATTTTCTGAATTTATGGTATTTAAAATCAAAGGGAAAATATTGATAAATAAAGGACTTTTATTTTAAAGACTAGCAAACAAACCTTTTAACTAGGCTTTTCTTGCATTGAAAAGGTAAATTTGTAAATGTATAACTTAAAATTTATTTTTTATTTTGTGTGATAATGTAGCGTTAATTGGTATTAATGATTTTAAGAATTTCTACCCTATATGATAAAAATGGCTGAATTATTCATAGTCCTTCTATTGATCTAATCATTTTATTCCCAGTGTTTTGAAGGAGGAATTAGAATTGAATTTTAGATTTTCATTTTTATATTTTAATTCATTTAGTATAACAAAGGAAACATTGTGATTCCTATCAAATGTTTTAATGCTTTACTATCGTATCTTATGGTTTGCAGGAAGTTTACTTTTTACGTAATACTGAATTGAAATCCATTTGTTCATGTGATTAGAGACATTTCCATCATCATTTATACATGAAAGCTTTCCAAAGTATAATTTTTATTATAAAATAGGGGAAAGGGTTTGAGGTATTCCAATACATTAATTTCTGTGTTATTTTTAATTTCTTAGGAGAGAGATCACACGTTTGACATAAGTTATACTTTACACATACACAAAAGTTTGAAATGTTTACATTTATTTATTGTGTAATACTCATTTGTCATTATATAGTGCTGTTTTGTGTATTAAATGTTGTGATTTATTTGTGCGTATTTATGTGTATTCAAAGAAAAAAAAAACCTGAACAGTGAAATATATATCTTTTGTTTATACCTAAGAGACAGATCTAGAAGAGGGTTAAGATTTGATAACCTTTGAATAAATATAGAGATCCAAGACTTTTATTTAAAGAACTATTATTGATTGAATTTTGTTGGCTTAACTTCAAGTGGCAAAAACTCTGAAGCTTCAGTGTAATATATTTTTCAATTTTTTAGGAACAGGGTATTAAAAGAGAAACATTTAATGTCCTGAAATAACACCTTTAAACTCATTTCTTATATACCTGTGTTTTACAAATACCGTGGATTCATTTATTCTTGTGGATACCAATTTTAGTGGATTGAGGAAAAATTGAACTTTTGTGGATATTTGATTTAGTGGTTTTGCTAAAATCTGCATACATACCTATAGTAAATTTTCATTTTGTTGAACATTTAAATTAGTGCTTTATCTATTCCATGAAGTCCATGACAATTGGTATCCCAGGAATAATAATGAATCCAAAGTATTCCATATTTCCTGTCATCTCGATTTCTCCTTGTTATGTCTTGTATTTTCATTCAGATTTGGTGTTGACTATTTTTATGACAATAAATTATAAGAAAATAAATTGTTTTAAGTTCTTTTACCAGTAAAAGACACTAATAAACCAAATTTGATATGAACAGCTCTTAAAAGGCAGAACAATAAATTATGAAGGCATTTTCAGTCTTTCAGTCAATTTTCAGACACCTCCATTACAGAAAATGTCTTCACACTATCATTTGTTGACTTTGAAACTATCTACTAAAGTTCAAATGAAGTGGATGTAAGCAATCATAGGCAATTATGGCATTCAACAAAGAAAAATAAATGCAGAATGTGTCCATGAGACACAGATGATGCCCCCATTTGCATATAACTTTATAAAGAGGTATAACTCTAGAAATGTAAAAGTGACACCACCCAAATTCGAACTTGATCTGAGTTTTGTGGTAATGAGCATTGTGTTTAAGTTTCATAATATTTGGTAGAGGCAAACTAAAGTTAGAGAACGGAAACGAAAAATTCAGCATTTTTTCCATATATAAAGGGCCAGAACGGTAGAAATGACGCCACCCAAATTCGAACTTGATCTGTGTTTTGTGGTAATAAGCATTGTGTATAAGTTTCAAAACATTTGGTTGAGGCAAACTAAAGTTGGAGAACGGAAACCAATTTTGGGATGTACGGACAAGGGTAACACTTAATGCCCCTCCAGTGACAGCAGGGGCATAAAAAACCATACTGTATAGTCGGCTATAAAAGGCCACAACATGAAAAATATGAAACAATTCAATTGGGAAGACTAACGGCCTAATTTATAACAAAACAATTTACGAAAAACAAATACGAGATACATGAACCGACAACCACTGAACTAAGTTTGTGACAAGGTCAATCTAAGGGGAACCACTTATGATAAGTCAATGATATTTGGCATGCAGTTGAATAAGGAATGTCATATCTTATCTCCATGGAAATTATTTGGTGTTGTTCCTTTAGGCATGGTTCATTGACTGAATATTTTGGATAATTTACATGTGAAAGCATTGCTATTTAATTTCAACATTTGCATTTTACTCATAAAATACATTGTGCATTGTGAATTGAGTCAACACTATTTCCTGAAAGAGGATATAAGTTCCTACTTTGTTAGTTTGTCTGCCTTCCTGCTGAATTAGTAAGCTTGCCTCAATGCATGATTTGTGTATTCCACCTCTAGTATTTATTTACCATAATACAGATCACTTAAGATTTTCTAAATGACGTTTTAAGTATGCTTTTGATGGCAAGCTTGATATTTTGGGTAATAAACCAATTCATAGTTTGAGTTAGATTTTCATTATGGTACATGATAGCTTTCAGCAGTTATGTCCCTTTGATTAGGAAAGATACTATGTGTACAAGTAGATTGATATCTTTCTATAACACATATTACTCCTGGTTTCAACAGAAATATTACCCAAGCTTAAGTTTTCACTGTTTCCATGGATATGATCACATGTCTTTGTTTGGTATGCCAGTCTTGACTTATTGATTTTTCTTCTAACCTTTTTTAGAATAAGGTTTTATTTTTGTCATATCACAGCCTTTTAAAGCTTACTGTGCAGTATCTGTTTTGCTCTTTGTGGAAGGATACAGAGTGACCTATAGTAGCTAACCTACGTCATTTAATCCTTGTGGAAAATTGTCTCATTGTCAATCATACCTCATCTTGCTTCAAAACCCCTTGAACTGACCTAATCACAAACTAATACATGTAAACTAAGCTAAGTTTAAAGTCAATAGACCATGACTGAGGGCGAGGCGCCAAATTATCTCCATGGAAATGAGATGTGCCGATGCTAATACAACTGCATAGCAAATATCATTCTTCTTGTTTCGTTAATCAGCAACAGAAAAATACCATCACGCTGATGCTGTGTCATCAAGTGCAGGTGCTGTACAAGTTGTGATCAACAAAACCGAAAAAATAAATAAATATATACAAGGTTAAAATTGTGGTCGGTGCAGGATAAAAGCAAGGATGATCTTTACAGCATCACTGTGACTCTGGTCTCAGGATGGAAGTGTGACCAGAGATTTTCCTTGAAAATGTCTGAGTCAGTGTAAGTTGCGATGTTTTCTGGTAGATGGTTCCAGTCTCGGATTGTTCTCGGGTAGAAGCTGAATTCGTATTCGGAGGTGTTGCATTGTAGCTGCATGATGCTGACTGTGTGGCTATGACGTGTTATCCTGTTGTTGACGAGGTAGAATTTGGGAATTTCGGTGGCTACTTGGTGGTACAGTATTTTCTGAAATAATATTAAGAGATTTGCTGTTCTTCTTGTTTCAAGGGTAGGCCAATTCAAAGATTGTATAATTGCGGTCATAGAGCCGGGTTGGTAGTTGTAGTTCTTGGTTACAAATCTTCCCGCCCTGTGTTGTACCATTTCTATACGTTTGATGTCCTTCCAACGGGGTCCCATACTGAGCTACTGTATTCCAGATGTGGTCTTACCAGAGCAATGTAAGCGAGTTGTTTAATTTCTTGAGGGCATCTATATAAATTTCTTCTTACATAATTCAGTTGTTGTGAAGCTTTGTTAATTTTTGAGGTAATGTGATGGTTCCAATTGAGCTTGCTGTCCAGCTCCACCACTAGGTATGGGTTATGTTCTTTTAGTTCCAGCTTTGTAGAATGTTTGACCTACCACTAGTGGTTCCCCATAAACTGACCTAATCATAAACTTATATGTAAACTAAGCAAAAGTTTTTAAGTCAATAGACCAAGACTGAGGGGGCAGAGCCAAATAATCTCCATGGAAATGAGATGTTATAATGCTAATACCAAATATCATTGACCTTACTACTAGTGGTTCACCATAAACTAGACCTAATCACATACTAATACATTGTCAAGGCTGCAGCCCCAGAAAAAGCATACCTATGTCTTGCTTTTTTACTCCATCAAGGCGAGAAAAAATGACTTCTTCTGTTCTGCCACCGTTATATACAATTAATAAATAATTTCACAATAAAAAGATAAAATTATCTTTGATTATAATCTGTATGCACCCATATAACAACCAAAATTTATCATTGGTCGAAAGATTCAAAATATAATAATAGCAGTTGTCAATATTTACATTTTATTAATAAACATAACATTTATGACATGGTGTTTGAATGTGATGACATGATTCCAAGACTGCTTTACCTAAACATAATGTAACATACTAAAAAAAGGTGTTTTTTTATATGACCCTTTTCCAATCTTTTTTTCAAGATCTAAATGTTTGAGGGCAGCCCAGAGTGAAAAATAACAAACAACATTAATCAGCTTTTTCAGATATTTCCATTAAATTAAAAATAAAATGGTCACATGATTAAAACAGAAGCAATTTATCTTAAATTTTTGGCAAAAGTTCTGAATGTTTAATCTCTACGTATCTTCAGGATATTTGAATATATTTGTTCAAGCTTTTCATACTGATATAACTGACAATAGTTCAGTCTTTCAATTTGATGGGTTTTCAGAGAAATTGTTTTTTTCGACAGTCGACACTGGTCAATATTGTCCCGCTATACCCAGATTTTACAATAATAACTACATATTGTCCACAATGTCATAATCCAATCCTATATCAACCAGATCACTTCATCACAACATGTTCTATCTGAAACTTCAGTTCCTTGGCGGTGGTGGTGGTCCCCTCATACCAGGTGGTGGCGGACCTCTCATACCTCTGGGTGGTGGTGGTCCACGAGGTCCAGGCCCTGGTGGACCTCTTGGTGGACCTCCCATGCCTGGTGGAGGAGGTCCTCTCATCCCTGGGGGTGGGGGTCTTCCACCAGCTGCAAATAATGAACAATATGTCATCTTATTATCTATTAAATGTGTTGTAACTATAGGAAGACAAATATAAAATACAAATACATTCATTCCCAGTCAAAAATTTCCATGAAATTAGCTGATATTCTAGAATTGTTTCTGAAATAAGTTTTAGCCCCTTAAAAGCATGAGCTTGCAATATTAAAGTCTCACTTTATATGGGAACATATAAAACATAAAGTTTTAACGTATCCTTCAAGGTATTCGAAAGATTTATGTTATACATATCTTTTACAATCAGACAAGGACAGAATATATCCAATACTGTGGATTCATTTCTTTACGTGGATCAAGGAAAAATAGTTTTATGGGGATATTTGATTTTGAGGTTTTGTCAAAGCCTATAAAAGTAAACAAGCCTTTAGAAATTTGTTTCTTCATTGATCATTTAAATTCGTGGTTTACCTATATCCAAGAAACAATGTAAATTGGTCCCCCACCAATTATAATAAATCCACATCATACTCCTACATTGGCAAGTTATAACATTTTGATTTACTTACGGAAGGGTGGTGGTCTCATTCCTGGTGGTGGTGGACCGTTCCATCCAGGAGGTGGAGGGGGTCTCATCCCTGGTGGAGGAGGGGGTGGTGGTCCTCCTTGTCCTGGGTATGGTGGTCGCTGCTGGTTATTCCATCCTGGAGGGGGAGGTCCTGAAATGAGTGAAATACAAAGATGGTATTAATATCAATTTCATCTCCTTTGTCAAATATTGACAATAGATTTATCTATGAAGCTGTGTGGATGGAATAAAATGTATGTGCTCTTAACTGTATACACCTTGTTGTTTTTAGGTTAGGGAGTGTTAAGCATCTCTTTGTTTATAATTCAATTGAATTAAAGTTGCAGTCGAATTTTATCAATAACAAAGTCTCCAGTCTATTTTACATTGCCTTTTTCTTAAGTAGTTTTCCAATTAAGCTCAGGATTTTGGTCCCTTGTAGTTATGATGATACAGTGTTTTAACTTAAAACAAATAATATAGCAATTCCAACTTATTTCTGAATTTACCCACATAGCCAAAAAAACAACAGGAAAAGATATCCAAATGCTTGTATTTATCAAATGTCACACTTATTTTCATTTTTTGTCATATTTAATGAACATTCATACTTTAAATGAATTCCTCACATAATTTCTGTATTAAATGGGAGGCAGTTCTAAATATTAATCTGACTTTTGCTTCAAATAAACGTATCAAGATGGTACCATTTTTTTATGTGTCTTAATAGGATTAATGTATAGCTTAAATAAAGAAATTTGTTTCAACTTCAAAGTAAGGTATTAAAAAAGTTTGCACTTTTGAAACTTATCAGAAAAAGTCTATAGGACAAGGGAGATAATTGAGCTGCATAAATATCTGTATCATCTTGGAAAACATCTCATCTGTATTCAATACATTATTTCTTCTGGTAAGATATATATTTTTACTGAAACAGTATAATAACAAATTAAGTGTGATGCAAGCTTGAAGGTTTACTTAGTGAAATGAGATAAATGTGACAACAAGCTGCATGGTTGATTTCCAAGAAAAAATACCAGCAGAAACATATTTTCTTTCATTAATTCTGTGGAAGAATATCTAGGCTTAACCTTTAGCAATGCACAAAATCCTATCAAATTAATGTTTGTTTCATAATTAAATTTATTTTGGAAATGGGCAACCTAAATGCACCCCAGAAGCATGGAAATTGAATATCATATGTCATAGAGTTATTGTTCTTTCAGGGCTAAACCTAGCAATTAATGGAATTCCTAATCACGGAGATAAAATGTAGCCGAGCAACATCTTGCTACACGTCTCCAGAAAAACTGCATTTGCGACCCTCAAATCACCAATTGACGTTGACAACTCTTCAGTTACAGTACTGTTATTCCTTAATCCATAATTCTGTTGTTATACATACCTGGATATCTTGGGGGTCCTGTTGTACAGGTAATTCTGTTGTTATACATACCTGGATATCTCGGGGGTCCTGTTGTACAGGTAATTCTGTTGTTATACATACCTGGATATCTTGGGGGTCCTGGTTGTGAATAATGTGGAGGGGGTGGATCATGTGATACCTGTGCTCCCTTTGTACAGGTAATTCTGTTGATATACATACTTGGATATCTTGGGGGTCCTGGTTGTGAATAATGTGGATGGGGTGGATCATGTGATACCTGTGCTCCCGTTGTACAGGTAATTCTGTTGTTATACATACCTGGATATCTTGGGGGTCCTGGTTGTGAATAATGTGGAGGGGGTGGATCATGTGATACCTGTGCTCCCGTTGTACAGGTAATTCTGTTGTTATACATACCTGGATATCTTTGGGGTCCTGGTTGTGAATAATGTGGAGGGGGTAGATCATGTGATACCTGTGCTCCCGTTGTACAGATAATTCTGTTGTTATACATACCTGGATATCTTGGAGGTCCTGGTTGTGAGTAATGTGGAGGGGTTGGATCATGTGTTACCTGTGCTCCCGTTGTACAGGTAATTCTGTTGTTATACATACCTGGATATCTTGGAGGTCCTGGTTGTGAATAATGTGGAGGGGGTGGATCATGTGATACCTGTGCTCCTGTTGTACAGGTAATTCTGTTGTTATACATACCTGGATATCTTGGAGGTCCTGGTTGTGAATAATGTGGAGGGGGTGGATCATGTGATACCTGTGCTCCCGTTGTACAGGTAATTCTGTTGATATACATCCTTGGATATCTTGGGGGTCCTGGTTGTGAATAATGTGGATGGGGTGGATCATGTGATACCTGTGCTCCCGTTGTACAGGTAATTCTGTTGATATACATACTTGGATATCTTGGGGGTCCTGGTTGTGAATAATGTGGATGGGGGTAGATCATGTGATACCTGTGCTCCCGTTGTACAGGTAATTCTGTTGTTATACATACCTGGATATCTTGGGGGTCCTGGTTGTGAATAATGTGGAGGGGGTGGATCATGTGATACCTGTGCTCCCGTTGTACAGGTAATTCTGTTGTTATACATACCTGGATATCTTGGGGGTCCTGGTTGTGAATAATGTGGAGGGGGTGGATCATGTGATACCTGTGCTCCCGTTGTACAGGTAATTCTGTTGTTATACATACCTGGATATCTTGGAGGTCCTGATTGTGAGTAATGTGGAGGGGTTGGATCATGTGGTACCTGTGCTCCCGTTGTACAGGTAATTCTGTTGTTATACATACCTGGATATCTTGGAGGTCCTGGTTGTGAATAATGTGGAGGGGGTGGATCATGTGATACCTGTGCTCCTGTTGTACAGGTAATTCTGTTGTTATACATACCTGGATATCTTGGAGGTCCTGGTTGTGAATAATGTGGAGGGGGTGGAGCATGCGATACCTGTGCTCCAGTTGTTCCTGGCATTGATGAAGGTGGAGGGGGTCGCTGCATTGGAGGATGCATAAATGGCATTTGTCCTAAAATTAAATAATAATTGTTTGACATAAACAGTAAATCTCGACTCAAAAGGATAATTATCAAATAAATTGATTATCACTATTTTCTTAAATTTTGCCTTGATTTATTTGGTGATATTTTTTTAATAGTATCTGAGATCTAGATGTTTAAAGTGTTTTAACATACATAAAGACCTTTTATCTGCCTAGAACAGTTGACAATAAACCTTTTCCATAATTTATTTGTCGATTTCGCTGATAAAACATATTTTTTCTGATTTTCTTGTCTCCTGACATTTTCAAAGAAGCAACGTTAACTGTTTACATTTAAAATAAATGAACTTATATGTTACCAATAAAACAGGTTTACCAAACATTGTCTTACTAATACCTACCTGGATGTCCTGGTGGGAATGGTGGCATTCCCATGGGTGGCACAGGTGGTGGTGGCAGATGCTGTGATGATGGGGGTGGCACTGGAGGAGGGGGAACATTTGACATCGATGTTGGAGGACCTGAAATAGAAATTTTATTAAAGTTTTGGGTTTTCAGTTAGATCCTATTTGTTCAGGACAATAATTGTTTTTACACAATAGATTGTTTGACGACAAATTTTATTCATCAGGTCATGTTTGCTTTACCAATCAGTTGATTACATAGTCATTAGGTGTATTCCTTTTTCTTTTGTTTTGTCATTCTTTGAGATCAAAATTGTACCATTTTTTTAATACATTTTGTTTACTTTGAATTCTTTTTTGTGGTTAGAGGAAATATTTGTTTGGTGCATACTTGTGTCATGGTTTTTTTAGGCATATAAGATTATGGAAAATTTTATTATTTTGAACACTTTAATTTGTTGTTCACCTGTACATGGTATTACCACAAAAAAAGTTATACTCCTAAAGTGTTTCTTTTCAAAGGGGAAAGAAATGCAGAAATCACACTCACACAAATTTGCTAACATTAAACTCTTCCATCAATGATGTAGGACCCTAATTAAAACTATATAAGGATTTGGAACATGTCAGAGTAATCAAGGCTATCCTGAGCTAGTTAAAATACATCTGAATTTATTTATTGTATATTTGCAATAATGCTTCTTGCCTTCTATTTACTCTGGTAAAACAGTTGAAAATGATTTTTTTCCAGAAGTGAAATGGTTTTATAAGACACCTAGAACTTGTTGTTAAATACTGGAGTTCCCATGAATTAAGCCTTTGTAGTCCTTCAGTAAAATTGTGCAGTACTTTACACTTTTGGAAGTCCCTTTGTAGAATCGAGTACCACTTTTGAGCTCTTTGTGTAAACTTCAGGTTTTTCTCTCAAGATTTGTTTTGTGTTGTCTATTAATCAGCTAACCACTGTCCAATACTGTTTTTTTTTTTTATCATTTATTATATTTGTATAAAATTTAAACTCAATATCTATTATTTCCACAAAAAAAATCTATCCTTTCTTTGACAAACCTGCTTGTCCTGATGACATTAATCCTCCCATTGGTGGAGGTGGAGGAGGGGCCATGGATGATGGAGGTCCTGGACCTGGGGGTTGTTGTGGAGGGGGTGGGGCATCTGCAAACAACTGATGTGGTCTGTCTGTTAATGATAATGGATTTTTGGCAGCCAGTAGTCTTTCTGGAATAAAAATAACAAGAAAATATAGTTTAAAATTAAAAAATCTAAAACATTCTGTCATAGAGGAATATTACAAAAGTCTTGTTTCTAAAATTCTTAGCTTCAAGCTAAGGGCTATTCCATTAAAATGTATGTGGGAGGGTAGGAAGGGAAGTTTCATTATTGAATGTGGGTCATGGGTCTTTTTTCAGTATGTGTCTATTACCATTTTGCAAAATTATCTAAAAAATGGTTCTTGGTTGTAGGGATATTTTGAAAGTCCCTTCCTACCCTCCCACATACATTTTAATGGAATAGCCCTAATTAAAATTTTAAGATAAAAATTAGAGAAATCAATTTTGAAATTATATAACAGTACAACATTATAAAATCAAGGTACCTTAATGACAAAATGTGCTAACAAAATTCAAAATACACAACATTCTCTTCTTTGATATAAATACACATTCAGTTTAAATCTTGTATTTTTTTTCAAGTAAATATTGTTATTTATTTGGCTATTAGAATTCTGTTATCTTCTTTAATTTTAGCTCTACAAAATATCTAAGATTAAAGGGTACATATTTTCCCAACTTGAAATACTGAATATGAAATTTTGATGAGTTGACATATAATTACATACATCCATTACATTTGAAGCCTGGTGGATAGTGGTCTCATTGGCAATCATACCACATCTCCTTAATTTTATATAAATCATGGTCCTTGTATTGTAACGATCGAAACAGAAATATTCCACCGCCTTCTGAGTTAAACTTGTGATTATTATCACTGTTTCATTTCCTTCTATCAATCATCTGAACGAAGACCATTAAAGAGTAAAAAAGTTTAAAATGTCTGATTTATTCTTCCCTGCATAGATTAAGTATTTGGACGAGAAATCAGAAGTTACATCAATATTGACAAAATTGCAACATGACTGTGATAAGACAAGTTCAAATATTAAATCCTGTACCAGCTTCACAGCAAGTTTCTTAGTTTAAACGAAGAACTAGAATCAAGCCCTGTTATAGATTCTTGATCATCTGGATTGGTCATTGACTCTTCAAGTCTAGGGAGCCAATGTAGCTAACCTTGAATCTAAAACAGGTCCAATACAGAAACAGCCAGTTATTACCACTATAATATAGTACCTCAAACAGACTGATAAGGTGTCAATCTTAATCTGAAAGTTTTACCAAGAAATCATGAAAGTTCAAAAATGAACCCCCCCTTTTCAGCCCCAAGTATTCAAACCTGCTGCAGATCCATGTCTTTCTCCTTTTGAATCTTTTTTAAATGCATATGAGATCGTTATAGCTCTATTGCACAAATATTGTCCATTCATAGCTTCTATGGCAGCATCAGATGCTTCAAAACTGGCAAAGTTAATAAAGGCATATCCTTTGGAGTTCCCTGAATCGGGATCTCTCATGATCTATAATAAAAATAAAGACGATGAAGTCCATGACAAGAACTCACAAAGCATAAAAATACATATCATTTAGATTTCCATGAAGCTGGATCTCTCAAGACCTATATTCAAAATAAACAAAAATGATAACAATAGATTCCCACCACTTACTTGATTCATTCAACTTTTATTTGTCCGAGCATTTGTACAGAATCATAAACAATTTAGAAACTGGTCCTTTTTAGTTTTACAGGTATACTCTTAATTAAAGTCAAGACTACCTCTAGTTAATCATTGAATTCCAAAGATTGATAAACAGTGGCGGATCCAGAACTTTTCATAAGGGGGGGGGGGGGGGGGGGGGGGGGGGGGGGCAGCCCGCTCCAGTCATGCTTCAGTGATTCCCTATGATAAAACACACACACATAGTGATATCATACCTTAGGTGTTTGTAATATGACTCCAAAAGCACTGAATGTATCATATAACAGTTTCTCGTCAACTTCAGGATCCAAGTTACCAATAAATATATTGGCTCCTACATCCAAGTTCTTCTGATGTGCAGAGGCCTACAAATATTCAAAATGAATTTTGTGTATATAAGTTTTAAATCATTTTAAGTTGGTGTCAGACTTTAGTCCTCTACTATGTATTCAAAACTATACCAGACTCAGATTGAGTAAGAGCTAAACCAAGGTATTGTTTTCTTTTCATAACTGTGAATTCATTATTTTCTTGGGTATCAATTTGTTCATGGATTTAGGAAAAACTTGTATTTTTTTCTGAAACTTCTTTGTGTGTTTTTGACAGTCTGCATAAAAGCCTATAAGCAATTTGTACTAAGTTGAACACTTAAATTCATGGTTCACCTATTCCCATGAAATCCCCATGAGCATTAATCATGGATTGTTTTCATATATATCATTGTCATTTCAGACGTACTATAACCTATTACAAATAAAATAGCACATCCTAATTTTTACGGTGATGTTGTTTACTGAGCCTGTAACTTTAGATACGATCTGAGTAAATCTATCAATCCTTTGAACTTATTCTTAAAGGTTATCAATTTAACAATGTAATTAGATCTTAACAATGTAATTAGATCTTTGAATATTGTTTTTACCTGTACAAATATTGCTTTAAAATAAAACTTAATGTTATTGCTAAACACATATGTACATTCGCGTCCTACAATCTATATATTGGCATTGCACAAGGACTGTAAATGACATCTTTAATTAAATCCATTATATGTTGGATGTGTACTGATTGATATTTTAGTCTTAGATACATGATTTTTTTTTAGTTGTTATTGGCTTTGAACTGGCTTCCAGTAACTGAGAGTACTCTCAGATCTGTACTTTTGTGTCTTTTGTGTTTTTTGTTAGTTGTTTTTGTGCTTTGTATTGATCTGATAAGTTAAGCCCTTTTCAACTGATTTTTTTAGTTTTGTATTTTTGTGTTGTACTGTTACACCGATGTCTTAGGTTAGAGGGAGGGTTTGGCGCCAATAAAAATACTTAAACCTGATACATTCAGTATGTGTCTGTCCAAAATCAGGAGCCTATAATTTAGTGGTTGTAGTTCATTGCTGTATATCATATAGGTTTTTCTTTTATTGTTATGCACATAAATCAGGCTGATAGTTTTCTCGTTTCAATTGTTTTACATTTGTCATTACGTGGCCTTTTATTGCTTACAATGAGGTATGGATTTTACTCATTATTGAAGGCCATACAGTGACCTAAAGGTGTTAACTTCAACGTCATTTGGTATCTTGTGGGAAGTTGTCTCATTGGCAATCATACCACATCTTCTTGTTTTGATATAAGATGTATCTGCCCCTGAACTGTACGTCTTTCAAGTCACCAGCTTAAGTTTACCTTATTAACCCGGACAGGTTTACCATATAATTTTATCATGTTCATAATTTTTATTGCATAATCTGCATCTTCTTCTCCCATGAATTCCACAAAACCATATCCTTGATGACTCTGTGTTACACGGTCCTTGGGCATGTGGACATTCACTGAAAAACAATAAAATACAGAGGTTAGAATATTACATCTTCTAACCGCTAACCCAAGAAGAATATCTTGCCCTGTTCTTGATCAACCATTCTGATTTTTTCAAATACTTGCGGTATTCCACTAATCACATACAGATACGAGGGTTCAACTTGTCCAAAGAAACTGCTTATAGAAAGAGTACCTGATGTGCAAACATACAAAAATGTACAAGAACTTTCTTTCATGTACCTACAAGACTTGCCTGTAGAAATTCCAATAAAATGGACTCTTACCTAACAGACCCTGCCTGTAGAAACAGCTCACATAGTATGGCCTCAGTCACTTATCCATATGACCTGCCTTAGGAAAGTTTCCCACAATATGACCTCCGTCAGTAACTAATACACCTGTACAGGATCTGCCTATAGATAGTTCCCACAGTATTGCCTCAGTTTGGTGAGTTTTTACTTACCTACAGAATTTGCCTAAAGATACAGTTGCCCTAGTATTGCCTCGGTTACTTACCCACAGGTCCTGCTTGTAGAAACAGCTCCCATAGTATGGCTTCTGTTACTTTATCATCCAATCCACCAACATAGACAGTCGCATCTAAAACATTCAAATTTGTATTTTTTAAATGTATATTTTGAAACAATCAAGGAAAACCTAAAATTTCAATATTAAACCATGACATGGTTATTAAAATCCCTCCTTTAACATGTTTAATTTCTCTTCGTTTAAAGTCTTTTCCTAATCATTGTGCTAAACATGCTAAAGGGTCCAGTTGTTATCACTCTTTAGCTGTTTACCTTTTTCACTTTACATAAATTGTACTGTAAAACCTCAACAAATGAAACAATTCTTTTTTTTTAAAAGATTCTTTCTGTTCATCTAATGCATCATTGTCTGCAACAACATTCCTTTTAACAGGGATACAGAAAACAGAAGCAATATCATGTCATGAGGTCTCGTGTTTCTGTTAACCTACATACCCTAATTCTCAGTGCCACCCTAAAGATTGTGTTGTCATTTTAGAACAAGAACTATTAAAGTCAACTTCCCTTGTTTAAATTGGTCCAAAATTCAACAAAAAAATTATTTCCCTATCTTTCTATCCTAATTTTTTCAGTATGTTAATGGAAACACAGGTTGTTTTTTTTAGGCCTGATGGTATATGTAGAAGTCAGACGATACCTTGTCAGAAGTTTTTCGTATTTTCCCCGTATCTTTTTTTGTAACATGAGCTGTAGATGCATTACCTCTTTTTTTTTTCTTGTAAAGCTTATTTTGTCCAGTGTTAACTTTACCCATGCATGTTTTTAGAATGGGAATTGGTTGACTTTTAGATGATCCACCTAATACTTTCTTATCATCATATTTTTTTTTATCGTAAATTATGATTAATTATTCAAAAATAAACCAGGGATTCCATGACATGTATCCGTATTGTCTAATTCTAGTAACTATATGAACGCCATTTATATGACAAAAAGTCCCAAGTCTTAAATGGTTTCATCAAACCTATTTTCTTGTCTGAGATAGCTACCGTAACTGTAAAATTGTAATTACATAGGTTTTATTTCTTTTTTTAACATCAATACAGGTAACTTTGTCAAACCTTCATGGAATTTTATGAAACCTGGACAGAATAAAATTGAGAATGGAAATGGGGAATGTGTCAAAGAGACAACAACCCGACCATAGAACAGACAACAGCAGAAGGTCACCAACAGGTCTTCAATGCAGCGAGAAATTCCTGCACCCGGAGGCGTCCTTCAGCTGGCCCCTAAACAAATATATATACTAGTTCAGTGATAATGAACGCCACACTAAACTCCAAATTGTACACAAGATACTAAAATTAAAAATAATACAAGACTAACAAAGGCTAGAGGCTCCTGACTTGGGACAGGCGCAAAAATGCGGCGGGGTTAAACATGTTTATGAGATCTCAACCCTCCCCCTATACCTCTAGCCAATGTAGAAAAGTAAACGCATAACAATACGCACATTAAAATTCAGTTCAAGAGAAATCCGAGTCTGATGTCAGAAGATGTAACCAAAGAAAATAAACAAAATGACAATAATACATAAATAACAACAGACTACTAGCAGTTAACTGACATGCCAGCTCCAGACTTCAATTAAACTGATTGAAAGATTATGTCTTCATCATATGAATATCAGGCACAATCCTTCCCGTTAGGGGTTTAGTATCATATACCATCATAACATACAATGTATATGAGAAGAACATAACCCCTGTCATGCCAACAACTGGTTTTTTTAAAATAAATGTGTTTAGTGCCGATGCAAAGACCCTATAAGTGAATCAATATTAACGCCAAAATATGCAATCTTTAATGACCTGACAACAGTATCGTAACTATATCCCTTCTTAATAAGTCTATTTAAAGGTTTTGTTATCTTCAGAGGTGAATACTGACATTTTTGTGCTTTATAAAGAATATTTCCATAAAAAATTGGATGTGAAATAACTGAACGTATAAGAAGTCTGCATGTTGAGCTATATTTACGAATGATGTCCTTATACCGATGATAAAATTTAGTAAATGTTTTGACTAGTTTGTGATATCGAAAACCCTGGTGTAATAATTTTTCAGTAATACATAAATTTCTCTCGTTAAAATCTAAAACATTGTTACATACACGAGCGAATCGTACAAGTTGAGATATATAAACACCGTAAGATGGTGACAAGGGAACGTCACCATCTAAAAATGGATAATTAACGATGGGAAATGAAAAATCATCTCTTTTATCATATATTTTAGTATTAAGCTTTCCATTAATGATATAGATATCAAGATCGAGGAAAGGGCAGTGGTCATTGTTAGTATTAGCTTTATTTAAAGTAAGTTCAACAGGATAAATTTCTTTAGTATACATACTGAAGTCGTCATTATTGAGAGCCAAAATATCATCCAAATATCTAAAAGTATTATTAAATTTGTGTATCAGATGTTGTTTTGATGGGTCTTTGCTGATTTTTGTCATAAATTGTAACTCATAGCAATACAAAAAAAGGTCCACAATTAGTGGTGCACAGTTAGTCCCCATTGGAATTCCGATAACCTGACGATATACGTAATCTCCAAAGCGAACAAAAATGTTATTTAGTAAAACTTCAAGGGCATATATAGTATCAAAGCATGTCCAATTGACATAGTTTTTTTGTTTATTGCTACTAAAAAATGACCTAAAAGAGTTTGAACATATATATTCACATTCTGACTTTTTAAATGCCCATTTAATTAGGTGTGTGAATTTTTTCTTAATGAGAATGTGAGGCAATGTGGTATATAGGGTAGAAAAATCAAAACTTTGAACAGATTCAAAATCACCAATATATGCATGTAATTTATCAAGTACTTCCAACGAGTTCTTGACACTCCAAAAGTAATTAATTCCACTATTTTCGAAGGCCTTATTTGAACAATTTATTATCAGGTTTTTGATTGTACCAAGTGTACTGGTAAGAAGAATAGACAATTTAGTAGTGGAACAATGGCTTGAAGACGAAATGAATCTATATTTGTAAGGTGTTTTGTGTAGCTTCGGAAGCCAATACATAGTTGGGACTTTCATTGTATTTGGTTCTGCTTGTAAAGCGGTAGCTAAAAGTTTATGTTTGTTACAGATGTCGTTTTCTGAAAATGGAGTCAGTTGGAATGTTGGTGAATTGGTGATTTCTTTTTTCAGAACCTCAATGTAAAATTTACGTCAAACAATAATAATATTATTAGCAGCTTTATCGGCCGGGACAAAAACAAATTCCTTGGCTAGTTCTTTTAGTTTATGTTTGATACTAGAAATAGGTTTATTGTGGTTATTGTTAAGAGTAAAATGTTCTTTAAAATGTTGAATACGTATATCAACTATGTTCATTACTGAATTAAAAAAAGAGTCCAAAGATTTTTTGTCAGCTTTTTCCCGTTTTATCCATTTCAAACAGTAAGTATGGAGTGAGTCGTGGATGATATTACGACACTCATTCCAATTAATAATTGACGGGGGACGATATTTAGGTCCTTTACTGAGGAATGATTTTAACTCTCGGTCTTGAACGATGTTAAGATCTCTTGTTATAACATGGGAAATGGGTCCATAAATGTATTCGGAATTACTGCAATTAAATGAAGTAGGTGTATTTTCACTGATATTAAAATCTTTACACAATTGGCTATAATTAAACACAAATTTCCGGGTAGATTTCTTGTAAATATAACAAATAAGAGGGAGCTCAGTATTATCAAAATATCCCGGAATTTGTTCTTTAACAGAATGGTCGTTAAAAATACCGGCAATATTTACAAAATCAAAACCTTTATTGACATACTTTATTTTAATAAACTGTTTTTTATGATCTTCAGGGCGATCAATTTTGGGAAACAGTTTAGAATAACAATACAATGTATGCCATTAAAATTTGAACGATTTCATACTTAGGACTGCTATATGAAATTGTGTTGCAATCCTCTAAAATTTTATTTAACTTATTAACCGGTAATGAACAGAGCTTTGTTAACAGATAATGTCTGCCGTTGTTTTTTGAAATAGAAATTAGGTCCGAAATATTGGTATGATTGGTCCGAAATTTTCTTTGATTGCGATTTTTTCTACGACCATGAGAACAGTTTTTACGAACAGTTTTAGAAACTATATCAAAAATGTTAACAGAATAGGTTCTTGATATATTACCAATTCCCATGATATTATCATTAAGACCGAGAGGGTAGACTGTCTGTAATTTTTTAATCCAATTTAATTCAATTATTTTCCGTGATCGTACAAACTTTGAATGAGATTCACCAGGCTGCTTATTTACTACTTCTAAAGGTTGAACTGCTAAATATTTAATAGGATGATTGTGCTTCTTAAGGTGTTGATAAATGATACTTTTGAATTTATTGGGTCTTTTAAAACAATACAGATGTTCTTGAGTGCGTTTAGATAAATATTGTCCAGTTTCACCTACGTACTGAACAGAAGCCTTTTTCGTGATCAGGAAATCGCATCTGCAGCCAAAAAAATTGATCCAAATGTAGACCACCTTGACGCAGGAATGTAGGATGGCTATATATATTACTCATTGTTGAAGGCTGTACGGTGACCTATAGTTGTTAATTTCTGTGTCATTTGGTCTCTTGTGGAGAGCTGTCTCATTGGCAATCGTACCATATCTTCTTATTTTCATATGCATGGCTTCCACAACTTTCGTAACAGACACAGCGAGAAAAAAAACCCAGACTTGAATTTATTTCAAGAAAAAAGTTTGAAGATATTGCTGAGATTCAGACATTTTCACATTCTTATACAAAGGCATATGTATGCTTCAGTGTAATTGTCAGGCTACATTTTGATGTTCAACGTTAGATATTTTTGGTCATATTTCTTTTATTGATATTACTCTATGGCTTTGTTCTAAGTTTAAAACTAAAAGGAGATATGTTGAGAAAATTGTACTGTTATAACAGCATTTAAACATATCATAATATAAGAATACAATATAATTCACTCAGATCTGGAAACATATATTTTTAAACATCTTAACGAATCATAGTTAAATTGTACTTTGAGTAAAAATGACTAATATCTTGAAATTATATACTTTAATGTCTGTAAAAGCAGTATAACACCATATAAAATCAAGTTCTCGGGTCAAATCAGAGCCCTCGGGAGTCGTGGTACAGGATTTATTAATATATTTTTTTTAATAGGACGAAAGGACCCTATACCCCAGTTTTTGGTGGGTTCGTGTTGCTCAGTCTTCACTTTCAGTTTTCTATGTTGTGTTTTGTAGACGGTCTTTTCGCAGTTTTGTATATTTTTGACATGGCATTGTCAGTTTGTCTTGGACTTATGAGTTTATATATCCCTTTGGTATCTTAGAACTGCCTCAATTCTATGGACCAATGATTTATATTCTTCCAATATCTTCATCTGTTCATGTGCCTAGGTTATTTGACAGAGTGGTAGTCTCATAATCTGATGTCTGTGATGATAATGAAAATAGGAAATTACACTTTTTACCATTTTTATTGTTGACCAATCTGATAAAGGTGGAATTTACAGACTTCGCAGTGAAGGTATACTACACACACACCCTGTAGACCAAGCAACCATTCTAAACAAGCAATTCCAATCTGCCTTTTCCACCAAGGACACATATAATGAATACGAGTTTAAATCCAGATGCAATATGCCAGGTCAATATCCCTCAGCAGAGGAACTCAACATCACAGAAAATGGTATACTCAAACTTCTGACAAAAATAAATCCAAATAAAGCAGCTGGACCAGATACTATAAAACCTAAACTACTCAACGAACTGGCCACAGAAATAGCCCCAATCCTTACAATCATTTTCAAAACATCAATAGAAACTGGGGATGTACCACCTGACTGGAGAAATGCGAACGTAACACCAGTATACAAGAAAGGAGAAAGATATAAAGCAGAAAACTATAGACCAATCTCTCTAACTTGTATTTGCTGCAAACTAATAGAGCATATAGTTACAAGCCATATCATGAAACATGCTGATCAACATCAAATCCTCTATCCGTTACAACATGGTTTCCGTAGTAAACGCCCGTGCGAAACCCAACTAATCGAATTCGTGGATGACATCACTAAAAATATGAGTGCAGGTAAACAGACAGATGTTCTTATAATGGATTTCTCAAAGGCATTTGACAAAGTCAGTCATAGTCTCCTGGTACACAAACTAGAACATTACAGTATCAGTGGTAAAATCAATAGATGGATTGCCAGCTTCTTATCCCATCGAACGCAAGCAGTCGTAGTGGATGGAGAGAGCTCATCACATATTGATGTAGAATCTGGAGTTCCCCAAGGCTCTGTACTTGGTCCTGCATTATTCTTGTTTTACATCAACGACATGCCAGATGGGGTCAAATCCACTGTCCGCCTATTTGCTGATGACACAATAGCATATCTTACCATCTCATCTGACAACGACTCAAACGACCTCCAAAGCGACCTGGACAAACTGGGAACATGGGAAGTCAAATGGAAAATGTCCTTCCATCCGGACAAATGCAACGTTCTTACCATCAGCAGCAAAAACAACACCATTCCAACATCGTACACATTGCATGGCCACAAACTTGAACCTGTCAAGAGTGCTAAATACCTTGGTTGCACCTTCACATCCGAACTGAAGTGGAATGATCATATCAATAACATATGTAACAAAGCCAATAGGACAATAGGCTTTCTTAAGAGAAATCTAAACATAGGAGCAACTTCAGTCAAAGAAAATGCATACAAAAGCCTCGCAAGACCAATAATAGAGTATGCAAGTCCAGTATGGGACCCATACTTTAAAACCCAAATAGATCGTCTAGAAATGGTCCAGAGACAAGCAGCAAGATATGTTTCCAACAAACACCATAATCACTCAAGTATCAGCAAAATGATTGAGCACCTGGAATGGCCATCTCTGGAAAAAAGGCGAAAAGACGCCAGACTTACTATGTTCTATAAAATAGAAAACAACAAAGTGGCTGTAACTAAGGAAGGTCGTCTTATGCAACCAACACGACTGTCGAGGAACATGCACGACAAAAGTTTCCAAATTCCAGCATCCAGAAGTGATTACAGGAAGTACTCATTTTTCCCGAGAACGATCAGGGATTGGAACGCTCTCCCTCCTGCCGAGTCCTGGGGTAGCATCAGCACCGTCAGTCAAAGCTTTTAAAGCCTCGCTGACAAAGCTGAACTAAATTATCAAATTGGGGGGTGGGGGAGGGGGTCTGTATGCGCACCTAAGTCATGGCATAATAATCAGCTCGTTGATTGTGGCCATTATCAGGCAGAAGCAGAAGCAGAAGACTAGGTAACAGGTTACGAGGTTAACCTCCCCCTTTTTCACTTTCTACAAATAATTGGTTGATTGCGAAATTGTCTTTTAAGGCATTCACATCGTATTTTGAAAACATACTGAATATTTCATTGCTGCTATATTTTACCTTGATTTCTTTCTGCAATAGGCCCTGCTGCCATCGTACACGACGAACAGCGTGTGTACGTTTATTTTAGCAATGTTTTTAGAAGATGGCGCTATATACCGGAAGTTCATTTAGCATTATTGCCCTTTAATTTCCCGCCATATACATTATTTCTCACATATGAAGTTCATAGAATTTTATTTAATGCAATTATGTGATGCTGAATATATATACTTCTCAGCAACAAAAAGTACATTATACAGTTTGATATAAGGTGACAGATATTGTGAAAGACTAGGGTCAATAGCTTACCACAAATACCCCCTCCCCCCAAAAAACCCAAAAAAAACATTTAAGAACACATTAAGAAATAGTTCAAGGTTGATGATCCCTTCTGTAGGCCTGTGTATTATAAACTTTATAAAGGGCAATAATCTCAAAATAGAAAAAAATATTGGAACAAAAGAGAGGTGCTATTTTGTACATGTATATATGAAAGGGTAGGAATGGGGTACCCCACATGAAAAAAGAAGATAAAATATTTATTAAAATAACGTTAACGATAAATATTTTACTCAATTTGATGCTTACGGTAGCTACAAAATAGATTTGACGAATGACATTAAAAAATTAAGGCTCATTTGACGCTAATGGTAGCGAAAAACGGACGTTTATAATAATAATAATAATAAATTCTTTATTTAACAAAGGTAACTCATTTAACATACAATTGTTAATCTCACACGAGGCCTTCACACATTAAAATGAACAATTAATACATATAACAATCAATGCATATAACACAATAATCAATAGAGATGTACACAATTACAAATTTATATACACAAGCATGAAAACAGACTGTAGAACTAGCATGGCAAGAATGTCCTAAGAAAAAAAAAAAAGTTTGTCTACTCATTTTGTTTTGTGAAAAAAGATTAGCACATTTCACCTTAAAGCTTTCGATATGACTTGAATCCTTTATAACATTTGGCAAACTATTCCAAATAATTAGACCAGAATATTGAAAAGTCTTTTTGAAGTATTCAGACTTTGGCCTTGGTAAATGAAGATGTCCAGATGTTGTTGACCTAAGAGAATAACTATATAGATCACTGCACGCAGTAAATTTACTAGTAAGATAATCTGGCGCTAGTCCATTCATACATTTGAACATTAAAATGGCTTGAAAATATTTTATCCGTTTAAAAATGGTCATCCAATTAAGTTCTTTAAACATTGATATTGATGGATAATCAAAACGTTTGACAATAAAGGGCATAGTCCTTCCCTCTTACTAGTGTTTCATCACATTTAATAGAAAATGGGAATTTAATATTAATGTATATTTTGATATCATTTTGTAGATAAAAGCAAAAACAAATCGTATTCAAGAGTTGAAAAAAGTGTGGAGGGAATATTAGGGAATACTCAGCTGCACATAGCTGATTGTTATACGACCGCAAAAAAATTTTGTGGTCGTATATTGGTATGATGTTGGCGTCGTCGTCGTCGTCGTCGTCGTCGTCGTCGTCGTCCGGCGTCGTCGTCCGAATACATATTAGTTTTCGCACTCTAACTTTAGTTTAAGTGAATGGATCTTTTTGAAATTTGACCATAAGGTTAAATACCACAAAAGGAAGGTTGGGATTGATTTTGGGGGTTATGGTACCAACAGTTAAGGAATAAGGGGCCAAAAAGGGGCCAAAAATGAGCATTTTCTAGTTTCCAGACAATAACTGTGGAACGGTGTATGGATCTCTCTGAAATTATACTACAAGTTTCCATACCACAAAGGGATGGTTAGGATTTGCTTTGGGGGGTTATGGCTCAAACCGTTTAGGAATTAGGGGCAAAAAAGGGGGAAAAACAAGGTTGTCCTGGTTAATGGACAAATACTTTAGGTAGTACAAAACATAATTTAAAGCAGTGTAAGGGAGATAAATCAAATACATCAATGAAATTATCTCCCTTACACTGCTTTTAAATTATGTATAAAGTAATGGTTAATGAACAATAAAGATAATCTAAAACAGTGTAAGGGAGGTAATCCAAATACACATTTTGGTTACTTCCCTTACACTGCTTTTAAATTATGTTTAAAGAAATGCATATTTTTAAAGAAATGCATATTTATAAAGGAAGACCAGTAAAAATATCTGCAAATGTTTTCATCTTTTTTTTTTACAAAAAAATCCATATGAAAGATTTGACACTATATTTTTATTAATTCTATTATAACATAGATTAAGTTAGCACTATGGTAAATTTAAATGGGTAATTATGGTTGCCATCTCCATTGGAAATTTGAATTGAGATTATGACCATATCTTGAGGGAAAGAATTTTTTTTGGGGAAAAAGGGGGGGGGGGGGGGGATAAAAAGAAATTGTGGGGGGCCAATTTTTTCTCATTTCAGATTTCAGAAATTAAAAAGAATTATTCTTCAAATATTTTTTATTTTTTTTTCAAATTTCAAATATTGAAAAATTTCAAGAAGTAATCTTTAATTGCACAGTATGGCGCATTAGATTTGTAAAATCTTTGATCACATTTATTTATTTGTTATGCCGAATCTAACAGTGTATTTAGATTTTTAATTTTGGGTCCAGTTTCAAATTGGTCTACATTAATGTCCAAAGGGTCCAAAATTAAACTTTGTTTGATTTTAGCAAAAATTGAATATATGAGGTTCTTTGATATGCTGAATCTAAACATGTATTTAGATTTTTGATTTTTGGCCCAGTTTTCAAGTTGGTCCAAATTGGGGTCCAAAATTAAACTTTGTTTGATTTCAACAAAAATTGAATATATGGGGTTCTTTGATATGCTGAATCTAACCATGTATTTAGATTTTTTATTTGTGGACCCCGTTATCTAATTGGTTCATATTGAGGTCAAAAGGGTCCAAAATTAAACTTTGTTTGATTTCATCTAAAATTGAATTATTGGGGTTCTTTGATATTCCAAATCTAACCGTGCATTTAGGTTTTTAATTTTGGGTCCTGTTTTTTAAATTGGTCTACATTGAGGTCCAAAGGGTCCAAAATTAAACTTAGTTTGATTTTAACAAAAATTGAATTCTTGGGGTTCTTTGATTTGCTGAATCTAAACATGTGTTTAGATTTTTGATTATGGGCCCAGTTTTCAAGTTGGTCCAAGATAGGGTCCAGTATTTAAACTTTGTTTGATTTCAACAAAAATTGAATATATGGGGTTCTTTGATATGCTGAATCTAAACATGTATTTAGATTTTTGATTATGGGCCCAGTTTTCAAGTTGGTCCAAATTGGGGTCCAAAATTAAACTTTGTTTGATTTCAACAAAAATTGAATATATGAGGTTCTTTGATATGCTGAATCTAACCATGTATTTAGATTTTTTATTTGTAGGCCCCGCTATCAAATTGGTTCATATTGAGGTCAAAAGGGTCCAAAATTAAACTTTGTTTGATTTCATCGAAAATTGAATTATTGAGGTTCTTTGATATGCCAAATCTAACCGTGTTTTTAGATTTTTAATTTGGGTCCCGTTTTTTAAATTGGTCTTCATTGAGGTCCAAAGGGTCCAAAATTAAACTTTTTTTGATTTCAACAAAAATTGAATATATGGGGTTCTTTGATATGCTGAATCTAACCATGAATTTAGAATTTTTATTTGTGGGCCCCGCTATCAAATTGGTTCATATTGAGGTCAAAAGGGTCCAAAATTAAACTTTGTTTGATTTCATCAAAAATTGAATTATTGGGGTTCTTTGATATTCCCAATCTAACCGTGTATTTAGATTTTTAATTTTAAGTCCCGTTTTTTAAATTGGTCTACATTAAGGTCCAAAGGGTCCAAAATTAAACTTAGTTTGATTTTAGCAAAAATTGAATTCTTGGGGTTCTTTGATATGCTGAATCTAAACATGTGTTTAGATTTTTGATTATGGGCCCAGTTTTCAAGTTTGTCCAAGTTGGGGTCCAAAATTAAACTTTGTTTGATTTTAACAAAAATTGAATATATGGGGTTCTTTGATATGCTGAATCTAACCATGTATTTTGATTTTGGACATTGGACCATAATAGGTAAATTAAAAAAATTCAAGTTCTTAGACCACATTCTTTCTGTGTCAGAAACCTATGCTGTGTCAAATATTTAATAACAATCCAAATTCAGAGCTGTATCAAGCTTGAATGTTGTGTCCATACTTGCCCCAACTGTTCAGGGTTCGACCTCTGCGGTCGTATCAAGCTGCGCCCCAGCGAAGCATTTTATTTTATTTTGAATTTACATCATTGTTTTATATTGACCTAACAATCCATGTAATTATGTTAATATATGTAATTTTGTATCAGAAATAAACATAAGAAAAATAATTTTTAAAATTCGAAAAGCAAAAGGGGAGAAAACTCAGTTGTCTTTTGGTCCACATAAAAATATAGATAGAATAGTAGTAACACTTGAAATAATAATGGTATTTAAAACAATTAAATAATTAATTAGATAAAAATTAAAAGGGTCAAAGTAATTAATACAAAGTCTCTAGTAACCACTATTATTGAATTAGTTGCTTTTAAGCAATGATTTTTATTGAGCATTCTTTATTGTTCCTATTTTCAGTCACTGGCATAATTAATAAGGGGAGGCCAGGTTAAGCACTCACAAAACATATTCTGTTCCCAAAGGTTGAATAACTGCTGTAGAACTGCTGTTAACTTTGACTTGGGATATCTTGCTTAATTGGTAGTTAGTGAAAGAGAGCATATTAAGTGACTAAAGATAATTGGATAGTCTTTAGTGAAGAAAAACGATGCTATATAATAAACATAGAATTATGTTGATGGTTATTAACGTCTTAACCATTGACCAGTATTACAAGGGTCATTTACATCTCCATATGGTCAATTAATTTTATGACAGTTTTACAAATTAATGGTCATAGAATGGAAACTAACCATGAAATAGATATGAACTGGATGATGTATTCATATTTTCTAATGTGTTAAAATCATCAGGGTTGAAAAGACCATTTATAATTTGTTAATTGAAAGCAGATTGGTTTTAATTTGGACGTGAGTATTTAAAGAGAATTCTGAAATTCAATTAATCAATAAATAAATTTATATTATAGATC